GCTGATGGGTCATGACTCAAAACGAGAAGACACAGTTGTAAACACCTGTACATAATTGGAACTTGGAATGCATGAAGTATGAACCTAAGAAAGTTGGAAGTTGTCAAAAATGAAATGGAACACATGATAATAAGCTAAGCATTAGTGAGCTGAAAGGAGTGGTATTGGCTATTTTGAACCAGAGGCATATAGTTTACTATGCCTAGAATGACAAATTCAAGACAAATGGTGTCACATTCATCTTCAAAAAGGACATTTCAGATTTTATCTCGAAGGACAATGCTGTCTTTGACAGAATAATACCGGCGCATGTACAAGGAAATCCAGGTAATAGGACTATCATTCAAATAGATGCCCTAACCACTAACGCAAGTGATAAAGAAATTGAAAAACTTTGGCTGGAGCAAGATGGTGACCAAGTAGCGCACATGGGAAGGACTCCACGGAGGCCACAGCAGAGGGGCCATGGGAGAGAGAGAGCCTACACCCCCAGACTGCAAGATTCTCAGCATAAAGCTAAGCGACACAAAATGATTTAAAGAGCTGCGATGCCTGCCGACAGACTCCCCTTTGTCATCGGCCCTCAGCAGAAGTCAGCGGGGCACAGCTTCCCACCTCTCCTGACCAAGTTTTGCTGGTCCAGGAACTAGCTAGGACCTCGCGTGTGGGAGCTAGCTAGTGGATGACCTGACAAAGACTGTGTTACCTGACAAGAGCAACAACAAAAGGGGAAGTGTGTTCTCTGGGACCTTGTTTTCCTAATCTGCACTACTGACCACACAGTTGCTTACTCAGACACATGGGGACACTTTTGACCGCTCCCTACTTCCCGGTATGCCGTTAATTATCAAGTCCCACCACTTCCAATAAATGTCTGAATTTGTTCTCTCTCCAAACACCCTACGCCATCACCTAGCCTGCACACTGTCAATTCTGTCCCCAGTTAAGAAATAGCTTCCTAAGTGATTTCCTTGATTCCAGTCTACATTACAGCCATGCCGATCTGAAGACAAAAACCTGGCAATGTTATCATTTGGTTTTAAAGCCTTTAATAGCCTTCCATTATCCTTCGGATATTAGTCAACTGACAAGAGCAACATAAGACTACCTTGCAAGATGTAGAACTGCCTTGCAAGAATGATCAGCACAGGAGACTCCATTTTGACGGAAAATAAAAAGCCTCACAGAGCCCACAAACATGCTCAATCACGGAAACAAGTGGACTAGGGGCCACCCCAGAAAGTCTGGGGTGCCCCAGTAAGACTCTGGCTGATGTCAAATGGCCAGCTGAATTGCCTAGATAAGCCCAGGTAGAGAGACTGGAAATCAGAGAGCTAGGAACCAAAGAGACATCAACTCCTCTTTCCAGCTCTACCCAGGCGAGTACACCGACGAAGGCAATGCTTAATGGGACGATGATGCTGTTACTATTGTTAGTAACGTGAGTGAATTTTAGAATTGTCTGATGTGTGTTTAAAGTGAATAAACCAAGCATTCGAAAATGTCAAAGAGCATTAAGTAATTATTGATCACGCCGCTCTTGACATCAACATAACTTAAAATAACTCTTTCTTATCTGGCCACTGCTCAGCTCTTTAGTGTCAGCTATCCTATCCTCTCTTTATGAAACTCCAACCCCACTGCTTTCATTAAGGACCCATAATGCACATTTCCTCGGTTCTGGACCTCTGCACGTATTCCTTCTCCGTCAAACACTCCTTTGCTACCTAGGTAATTCATTTATTCCTTGGGAATTATTTCACAGACTCCTATAAACTTAAGATATATTCCTACATTAATATTATTCCCTCCATTATTATACTTATTGTAGCTAATTATAATAGCCGGTTTAACATAACAATCTTTAATGGTTGTCTTTCCTAATAGGTCTTCTCTAACAGTAAGATCAAAGAATGTCTTTGTATTGTCATGCTTCTTTGATACCCAGTGAATGACATATTTAAATATATATTGGTTCCAACTCATAGCAACCCGATATGCAATACAGTAAAGCACTGCCAGTCCTGTGCCACCCTCACCATCGTTTCTATGGTGTTTGGGTTTTCATTGTGTAGCAATACTTTTTTTTTGACTCATCCTTGTTTAAGTATATTAATATTGAGTACTCAGCTTTCTAAGTGAAAATTATCAGAAACGTATGTCCTACTCTGAATAATTTAAGGGCTTGGGATTTTGTTTTGTGTTTTTAAGGGGAG